GTGGTCCTTGCGCGATTGAGCAAGCTTTGGCCGCTCTGGAAGGAATGCTGTCTTTTTTTGACAGATTTTGGCTCCCCCACTTTCTTCACGATTTGGGGCGCGGCCGCGGCGAGCGCGGACGAGTCGATAGTGCCCGCGAACTGTGGTGGTGATGCGTTTTCAAATTTACCCACACAGTTCGCGGGCACTATCGACTCGGCCGCGCTCGCCGCGGCCGCGCCCCAAATCGTGAAGAAAGTGGGGGAGCCACAGATTTTGATTGCTTGGATCGTTTGGTTACCTTATTTCTTTGTTTGTAGTGATGTATAGTCTTTGTTTGTATTGGTGCACATGCGATTGTGGTACCTATTTGCAGGCTCGGAGCCAGCAATAAGTGCCGATGGAGAGAGCTAAATGGACATCTCGTCCAGCCACACCCTAGGGGGAAAGAACTTCAAAGCTCGGTTTTGTTTCTTTTTTTTCATTATCAGTTAACTCGGCATCCACAAATTCATTATCGACGCTTTCACCCAATGACTTCGATCCGGGAAGAGTCCCCGCATACACTAGAAAAAGGAATGACAAGGGTGAGACGCGCGACCACGTCTCAATGTTCAACGAGGTGCGCAAACCCCGTCTCAATATCGTTAATTTGTTAATAATAAAACGTCACAACCCTAAGCAGAACGGAAAATTCATTACACAAGAGCGGAGTATATTCTGATAAGAGGGGGAGGGGCAGAGTCCGCTCTAATGCGAGTTTGGCTCAAGGAGTCCTTTAAAGTTACGAGCTGTTACCAGCTTGATTCCTACCTTGTTTTGGTTAAATTGTAAAAAGTAAAAAAGTATAAACAGTATAAAAAGGTGATCTCGAATAGAATAAATGATTCCCTTCTTTTAAGTAGTAATATAAGAGTGAGTAGTTGCCGCCAACCGCAGCCAGTCCTCCTTATAGCGCTCATGCTCATTCCATTCCACATTGCGACGCATAATCTTAGTTCCACCTACAAATTTCCCAAAAACTAGAATTTGGAGATGTTTTTGAAAAGGGCTCTACAGACAAATTGTGACACATGCAAATGCGAATCTGAATATTATCACGGAAATCCAGTTTGAGAAAGCAAAAATTTTTTATCCTCATTTTTTTTCGAAAATACCCGACTTGCCTATGACGCAAAATCATAGTTCCACCACATGTTTCTCTGCTGCATTTTGCTTTTACCCAATCAAATTTTGAAATTATTACCCACTCAAGTCCCTTAGCTTATAGCAAAGGCAAAACCGCTGTCGAACTTCCGTAAAAGGAAAACCCTAGCAAAAGAGACGCAGGAATTGTTGAAGTGTCAGCTCACGCTGGAATTTGTCGGGGTGACTTCATAACGAACAAGTTTCTCAAGGATGCTACAGGATATGATTTTGGGAGAACCCTGCTGATGTCAGAGTCCGCGATCCTTTCGCGATTTTCGCGATTTGCGCGATTTGCGACGGGTCACGGAAATCACAAGTGCCCCATCAATACTGCAAGGTGTTCTCCAATCCCGCCGTCACTTCTGCTTGATGGTTATGGTTTAATGGAGACTGCTCATGATTCCACTTGTTTCATATCCAGTGTTTCAATTGTTCAAATGGGGCACTTGCAATTTTTGTGATTGGTTTGGTTTGATTCCTGAAAAAAATAGGAACGATTCAAGAGCATTTCAATGAACTAATAGACATTGAACATGAAACAAGTAGAACCACAAACATTCGTCTTCCAATCTTTACTGCCAAGCAGAATTCGCAGCAGGATTAAACAACACCTCG